TATATATATATATATATATATATATATATATATATATATATATATATATATATATATATATATATATATATATATATATATATATATATATATATATATATATATATATATATATATATATATATACGAATATATGTATACTATACGAATACATAATGTAAAATATTAATTTCTAGGCACGACTGCACTTAAATAGCCTGCGAATTTGAGCAAAATATTTGTCGTCTTTTTATTGAAGGGAAAAATTAATTTAGACAGTAAGTTGCTCTTGAACTCGTTAAAATTCATGAACATCGTTAAAATTCATGAACATATTTGGAGATTGTATTGAATTTAAATGAAGTAATAAACCACAACGTCTCGAAAGTTTGGTTTATTTCTGATCTTAAGATTTTTATACTCTCTAAATTGCAATTTGAGTCATATATTCAAAAAAATACAAATAAAATCATTTAAATGCTTGGTAATGCAGATACGATATTCCAATTTGCCGTCAAATCGATCCTCTGTTTATATAATGCAATTGTTTGCTTTCATGTGACATATGAAACAGAATGGGTCTAGCCAAGTCTTGTTTATTTGTTTACTTAAAATAATGAAAGAAATTTAAATCATCATTATCGAATATAAAACAAATTCTTTAAAATTGATCCGATTTTGGATGAATTCGCTAGCATCATTAGTATCAACTACTTCTTAAAAGTGTGATTGTGTACATCAATAAACCTTGATCAGAAAAAATATTCTAACGATTCCTGCAATGCCATGGTCATTATTTTTTTTTTACTGTAACGTGCGTTCTTTTGTCTAGAGTTAGGACCTCTGTGTGTACATAAATTAACCCAGCACTAAGTCCCAAAATGACTATGGCATCCCAGGAATTGTTAAAATATTTCTTCTGAACCAGGTTAGTCGATGTACAAAATCACCCTTTCAAGAAGTAGTTGATACTAATGATGATAACAAATTCTTTGAAAATCAGATCAATTTTAATCCTAATTTAAATTCCTTTTATTATTTAAAGTGAACACTGAACAGATTTGAATAAATAATATTTTAATTTTTGATTCGTTCTTACCAAACCTTACTCATGCAATTCTCAAATATGTTCATCAATTTTAACGAGTTTGTGAGCACTTTACTTTTCAAATCATTTTTTTACCTTCCTAATTTGTTTGTAATTATTAGCATAGTTGCTGTTAATAAATTTTCTATCTTATGAAAAATGGTAAAATTTGAAACTGGCGATTAATGGTGTAATTAAAGCGTTTATTTTTTCTGTCCTTTTGGTAATCATTCGATTTATTTGCAGAGATAATTTTCTACTTATTGGGTCGATCGGCATATTATTTACGCATTTGCATATATTCAGTCACTCAATGATTCACTGCTTCATCTACCGATATATTTACCATTCATTTATTTCGTCCAATCATTCATTTATTCGTTCGTTCGTTCATTCATTCATTCATTCACTCACTCTTTTAATCATGCAACCATTCCATCTAACAATTTAAGCAATTATTTATATATTTGTTATTATTTTAAATAAAACAATTGCACATTTATGAAAATAAATAAAATTATTAATTGGAAAGTCCTTTATCGATCCTAGACATGCTGTATCATGTACATATTCACTTTATATTTTTTGTGAACAATCTACCACATTTTTCATATATAAATAACAAAAAGAAACAAACTCGCACACACACACACACACAGACAAACACACACATGTGCTATAGTGCATGCGCGTCCATATAAATAAACTTAGACAAACTTATAAAAAACCTGCGTACATATAGCTAAATACACAAACATGAATTCATAGACATACACGCAGTAGCACAGCACACACATACACGCATACACAGAGGTAGGTCTGAATATACATTAATACGTAGATATTTATTTGCATTCACACACTCATAAATACATGCTAGACTCACCCATACATACATACATGGAAGTTGTAGAGATTTCTACAATCAATCTGGATCGCAATGTTTTTTATTGTATTAATATTCTGCAAACTGGGGTATGTTACAGATGTGCGTCTGCTTGCATCCTGACTGCCTCAGATAACAAACAAGTTGTTGACTTTTATAAATTGAATGCACATACACGAGCGTTACATATTTTTTAAAGTACTGCTCAATCGTTAAGAAGAAAAGTGAACCACTGAAAATTTATAGAAAATAATTAAAATTTTACTTTCTTGTGTTAATTCTGAAATTTTACTAATAGGTTGAGATTATCATGTTC